TTTGAAATCGTCTGGTCTGATTGCGATCTTAAGAGGTGTACTTGAGACAATCAACTCTGCCGCTTTTTCCTTTTTCCAGTGGTGTACGTTGAGGAAGACGATTTCGTGGATTTGTTGAGCAATTGCAGATTGTTTTACCTAGCCTTTTATTTCGTCAGCGCAAGAAAAGTATCAGAGGAAAGGGCATTAGTTCTTTGTGACGCTGTTTTGTTTTGTTTCGGATGTCGTCTCAATCACCTTGTGCTTTGCATTGGAAGTGTTCTCTTATCTCTTATCATCTCCATGACGTCTCATGGACGTAGCTATCATGGATGGTTCACTTTTCCATCGCTTTAAACAGTTCCGTGTGCCGAACGATATTCCTTTATTTCTGTCTTTGCACTTTTCAAGACTGTGTTCCTGTGATCCTGTGACATTTACGATCTGGTGGTTTTCACATGAGTATTTCGCACTGTTAAAATTTATGCTTTTAAGCGTGAGCTTTTGTATAAGAATCACCTTGAATCAGCGAAATATCCTGGCGTTAATGGTTTGGAATAAAACCCTTCTTGAATAAATTTCTACGAGCACCATACAACTATTGTGACCTTCCAGTCGGGCCAGTTTTTCACCGATTTTTTTTCCACGAGGGAAGTCTCGGCTTCTAACTTGTTTCCAGGCGAAGTTCGACCTCCTGAACATGATATCATATTCGCTCGGCCTGAAACTGCCTGACGCCCTGCGTCAGTGCCAAAATGCCCTAAATCAAATTCCTTGGTAAAACTTGTCCCCGGGGGTAATTTGACCTCCTGAACATGATTGTCACATCCACTTGGCCTGGAACTGTCTGGCTGTGCCACAGTAAGCCTGCGCCAGAATACCCTCGATCAACAAGTCGATGAAAATTTGTATACGGGGTTGTTTGACATCCTTATCACAGGTATGACGTTCATACCTGACGCCGGCGCTTATGGAGGCCACTAAGAACATTTGCGCTCCGACAAGGATGAGCCTTGCCCGAAGGGAGTCACTTTCTTTTAGGCTCAGCATTAGCAGAGCGTTGAATTGAAATATCTGCCTTGGTGGAAAAGGATTTGGCACCAAATTGGCGCATGCTCGCGCTAAATGGCGCGGGGATAAAAATAAATGCCAAAATCGTGATCAGGGCACCGAGCAACCCCATGCCTGTTAACACCGATTTTGGTGAGAAAATGGTGGTGCCTGTGGCAAAAACGAATGTCACACTCGTGATGAGGACATCGAAATCCGGTACAGGCAATGTTTCGGGAAATTTTTTCGAGATTTCGGGGTAGTAGGAGTTGAATAGTATATACAGTTATGAATCTTTCGCACGTTGTAACTGGCACGTACTTTGACTTTGACCTCTTCGTTCGAACTTTTTGAGGTTAGACTTTTATCTCGCACATGTCGTCTTTTCTTTGTTAATTAATTAATGGGGTATTTTTCAGGAATGATAGATAGAATATTAGATCATGTTTATATCTCTGGAGCTAGAGAGGTGCTTGCTGGCCATCCACTTCTGAAACATGATGTGAGTTCGGTACTTACATTAATTCCATTTTCTTGTTAGAACATTAATTCCATTTTCTTGTTAGACAAGCGCACTTTTCTTGACCATTTGTTTCTTAATATGAATTTACTCACTAAATAATGGACGTTTTATGTGTTCACAGTCGTGGGGCAAATGTGGAGCTCCTCCTTCTATTGGGGGTCAGCCTTCTATTGGGACTCCACCTTTGAGTGGTCTCCTCAACCAGCGATCTCTACCTACCTGCGCTCTAGCACTTGCCCCAAAGATGCGGACCGCGGCGTTGACATTGTTTCATGACCGATGTTGGTATGGTGGCTTGTAGCTAACCTGGGAGTGATTTCTCAGTCCGGTGAACCGCTGCTACCTTGATCCATCCTGTTGTAAGAGCCTTCCCTCTCCTTGTCTTGCACGTGCTATGAGTCGACGCGGTGAAACTAGACATTGCAGGAGTCGGTATACCAAGGCAATTGAAAGGAGT